AAAAACACTTATAAAAATATAAAATATTGTAGAATAGTGTTATATAAGCAAGTACAAAGGGCAACCCACAAAAGAAAACAAAATTTACTTCTGTGTGTGTGTGTGTGTGTGTGTGTGTATATACATATATATATATATATATATATTCGTTCTAGTTATCAAATAACGATAAATGAAGAGACAATCCACGATCTGGGGGAGCATGTTTGCCAAATCCAGATTAAACTAACATTACAAAGAAATATACACAAATCTACCAAATATAACAAAATGGGAGGAATATTAGCACTAAACTTCAAAGAAGCACTCTAAGTGCAACAGACATGAAAAAATGTTCTGTTGTTACTAGTAAAAGAGAAAATGCAAATTAAAATCAAAACTATGAGCCCAAGGAGATGGCTCACCAGTAAGTGCCTGTCTCCAGGGAAGCAAAAATACCTGTGTTTGGAACTCTAGCACCCAAGCCAAGCACAGACATGTGTGCCTTAACCTCAGGGGTAAGGGGTAGAGAACTGCAAATCGCTGGAGCTCACTGGCTACTCAGTGTGGCCAAATCTGTAAGCACCGGGTTCAGGGAAAGACCCTGTCTCAAAAACTAAGGTGGAGAATAAAGAAGCTCAATGTAAATTTTCAGCCTCCACATATAAGCAAACACACATACACAGGCATATGTGCATGCACAAACATATCTACAATATCCACACAAAAAAATAATAAATAAGACAAAACAAGCACCAGGCATAATTTCCCACAATCATACAGCAAATGAAACAATATCAAATTGTGAAGACCATAGAGTCAGAAACTCCCGTTCACCAATGGTGAGAAGGCAATGATCAGACATCCAAATTGGAGTATGGCTTGGGTAAAATCGAACATGACACTACTCCCTTTGACCAAGAATTTATCATCTTAAATAATCAGATAGGGAAAACTGGTATATGGACCAATAGACTGAAACAGAACATCTACACCATATAAGTGCTCATTGAAGCCAAATACCGAACCCCAGGACTGAAACCATTGAGACCGTCTATGCCCACGCATGACGACTTCTGACAACAGAGTCTCACCATCCCTCACTTCCCGAGCTCATCCACTCTCTCTCTCTCCTAACTGATCACCGCAAAAATCACCTCCTATTTCACGTTCTTGTTTTCAACCAGTGGCTTTACTCTTATTTCACTGAGAAAGTAAAAATAACCGACCTGTGCACAGGTTCTCACCGCCTATACCCACTGTCTTACTTTGTGTTCATGCAGCCTGCCCTCTCTGACACCCTAAGATCATGGAGCATCTGCTTCCTCTCTTTTTCAGTACTACATCCCGCTGCCACGGCCTTTGCAAACATTGCTCCAGCAAACCGTCCCCCTCTGTCCATTTTCTGCATCTGCTAGATGGTTCCTGAGTCAGTACACAAACGTTATTATTCCTTCAACCTTAAAAAGGATGCTCTCTCGAGCTACTTCTCACCTCATCACTACTAACAAATTTCCCTTACAATTCAACTCCTCAGAGAGTTGTCCGTACTTTTTCTGCTTTTCTTGTTAACCTCATAAACAGCTTGATAAACGTTCAATAAGGCATTTATTAAAAAGCCTTCAGACATTCACTATGCAGACATTAAGTATGACCAACAGTATTACCTGAAATAGGATTTACCTAATAACAGACTTACACAATTGTTCTGTCTCCAAAATCTGACAGGTAAATTTTCTTAGAGAAAACCAAAAAAGTAAAATGAAATAACTGGGCAATTTAATTAGCTTTGAATGCAATGATGTAAAAATAACCCTACAATATCAAGCTGAAGTCTGAAGAGACCATTTCATGTAACTGGGTATAAGCCTTGTAAAATTTTCTAAAGTGTATGTGATTTCAAAGGCATTAAGCATAAAACTGATACAGTACCACACCTTAATTATTTGGAAGCATTACTTATAGTCATTACTGTAGATATCACTTACATCTACAGAAATATTTCCTAGCAATTTTTTCCTCTCACTTGAAAAATAGGTTTTCAAACTCTAACACTGGCTGGCAACCCCAAGGAGCCCAGTTCAAGCCCCTGAATTCACGTGTGAGGAAAGAACTGACTTCTGTAAGTTGTTTGCTGACCTCCACACGCACACACACACACACATGCACACACATACTCACACACACACACACACACTCACATACATACACACACACACACATG